CTAATGCGAATCCATTTACCTAAATGAGTTGCTATGACAGGAACGTTTGGAATGAACATTGAATTGACTGCATAACAGAAAGACTTATATTCTACTGAACCTTTACTATTAACTCCTGAAATACCTGTGACATTAGCTATTTTAGACTCAATGTACAAACAATTACCATAACATACGTATGGAACAGATTTCATCTCAATCGTTTTGTCAACACTTTTCAAAGGAAATGTCATATGGTATGCTCCCAGAAGCAATTGAACTCTATGACTCATTCGTGTTATCTTAAAACTCCTTCACATAACTGAACTTCAAAACTCCTGCAATAAGTTTAACATTCATTAAGTTTTCTTCGTTATCCTTGTTTATTGTAGTATTTATGAGAGCATTTAACACTCCAGCTAATGTTTCCATCTTATATTCTACATTATTGTGAAATCTTATTTCGTGCTTCTTTCCATCTATTTCAAACTCCATGAAATCTGTTTCATCTGTTATGACAAAAGTTGCGATAGTATTGAAGTCAACAACTCTGAAAGCAAGTGCTTCATTCTGTAGACCTAAGTTTGTTTGAAGCTTTACTGTTCCATATTCGTTTGGGTCTGTACTTTGCAAATAGAACAACATTTTATTCTCATTAAAATATGACTATTGCTGCATATGCGTATGAAACAAATGAAGCAAGAAGAGCACATGAACTAGTAAACGAAAACTCAACTTTAACCATTGAAGGCAATGATTTAGTCATTGACGATGGAAAAACTAAAAAAGTCATTGATTTCGATACTTTTAACACTTATGACCCATTCATTACAACAAGCAAGGTTCCTATCATAAATGATGGAACGGTGCAATATATAAATTCTACAGTAGATGCCTCATTAGTGAAAGTATTAAATGTTCTCATTGAATTGTTAAAGAGCTTTCGATTTGACGACAACATTAAATGCCTAAAGAATTTAGTCATGAATGAGAAACAAATTCTTGGCGTTGCTGGTAGCAGTAATGATGTACACCTTATGACATTAGAATATTATAACGAACATAAAGATGAACTGAAAGGAGAGAAGGGTGACACCGGACCTCAAGGACCACAAGGAATACAAGGAATACAAGGAATACAAGGAATCAAGGACCTCAAGGCGAAAACGGTTTGGATGGAAAGGATGGAAAGGATGGAAAAACTGCTAAATCATGGATATGGGACCTTATAAATACTGGTTTAACAGCTGCTTCATATGGAGTTCTTCAATACCAAATCGGAAAGATATGGGCGGTACTTGGTGAAGAAGTTTTAAATGACGTTAAAAATGCTTTGAACTTCATTTCAAATGGTTCGGATACTATTAAAACTTTATCTGGTTGGATGCAAGAAACAAGGAGTCAAATAGATACTGTAAGACGTATAGCAAACAATGCACGTACGGGATTGGATACTTTACGACAAGCACAAAATACACTAAAGGAAGCAAATGATATTCTTGGCTCAGTATCAGACATGCATGAAGATTGGCTTAAAGGTATTGACAAATCTTTAAAAAATCACAGTCAGTCTATTGCTGACTACAAGAAAAGTATAGATTTTTTACATAGTGCTATGGACGTACATGATGGAAGCATAAGGAACTTACTTAATGCTAACAATAACTTACCAGGAACTATTAAAGCATTTATAAAGTCCTTTGTAAAACCCGGTGCTCTAACATTTAGGTCTTTGAGAGCAAGAGCATTGAAGTCAAGAGATGCAGAAACTCCAACAGAACCTACAGAAGGAACTGAAACAACAGAAACTCCAGAAGAACCACCAAAACCAACAGCTAATGAAATATTGTTCGAATATTTTCCAAGGTACTCTGTTCTCATTGCATACATTCAAGAAATACTTAAGAAAGCAGACTTGACTTTAGGAGATGATGAAAGTTCTGTATATCTTTCGTTCCAGTTTCAAATAGCAGAACTTTTGAGACAGATATGCTTAATGTATGACAACATCTCTGATTTCACAAGATATGATGACGACCATGACCCCGAACACGGTGAAGAAGAAGTTTTACAAACATCCATTAAGACAGGAAAGGTTTTAACTCAAAGTCTCATTATTGACACCAAAGATGGCGAAGTGGACGTTCTTCAAGAGCTGAAGAAAAATACTTCTTCGGGAGGTGGTGGTAGGCATGAACTTGAAATAAATGAGATAGAAGAGAAATTAGCCGAAAAAGCAGATAAAGAACATAAACACAATATCTCCGATATAAATGAACTTCAAGCTACATTAAATAGTAAAGCGGACAAAAATGAACTTGACGCAATGAACAAAGTTTTGAAATCTCATAAACACAACATCTCCGATATAAATGAACTTCAAGCTACATTAAATAGTAAAGCGGACAAGAACCATGTTCATTATATAACTTCAGACGAACAGATTATAACGGACTACCATGGATATTTAACACGAAGTGATGAAGCGAAGACAAAAAATGTTAATGAAAGAAGATATAAATACATTCGTGCTAAAGGTTATGACATAAGCTGTACTGTACAGTATGATGTAGCTAAAGCACCAGAAGCATTTGGTTATACCGGTGAAATTTATGCCTCTACTTTCAATGTTAACGGTGTATTAGTTGAACCAAGATTTACTTTGAGAGTTAAGGCAAAAATAACGTTTGAAGATGCTATTAAAAGTAAAGCTGACAAAGTTGAACTCGAAGCAACGAACAAAGTTTTGAAATCTCATAAACACAACATCTCCGATATAAATGAACTTCAAGCTACATTAGACAGTAAAGCTGACAAGAACCATACACATAAATCCTTCACTACTGTTAGAGCAGACGACATAATATTGAACTTTGACCTTGGTTCAAGTGCACCATTAGAAAATCCAAGTACAAGCGTAAAAGATACTCTTAACAGTTTAGATAAGAGTTGCAGGAACATTGAAAGTCATGCCAGAAACTTTGAAGCACATGAACTACCAACAATGTTAGATAAGAAAGCAGATAAAACTTATGTGGATGCAGAACTAACAAAGAAATTTTCGAAACCAGATACAATGACATTTACAACAGAAATTATAAATGGTGAACCAGCAACTCCATTTGAATTTGTTAGAGGTCTTCAACCAGATACTTTTGAATTTTTCTTGGATAATTCTATTGAACTAACATTACATTATAAAAGTGGAACAAATGCAACATTTCATCCGGGAGATACATTCCAAATGGTATTTAATGACATAAGTTCTTTAGAATATGTTTATAGAGTTATGAGCATATATGATTTAATATATCCTATAGGAGCTGTTTATACGTCTATGAATCCAATAAATCCAAACACTTTATTTGGTGGTAGATGGTATGAAATAGTTGACAGTTTTCCATTCTACACTAATACGCAGTCAATGAAGATGGGAGGTTCAAAGAAAATAGGTATTGAAAACCTTCCTTCACATATGCATAGGTTCAGTGGAAGAACATCTGTGGAAGGAAACCATTCACATTCAATAACAAAAAGAGGTTATACAAATCTTGCAGCGGGTTCGGATAGACAGGGAATGCATAGATATGATATTTCAACTGACCCAGTAGATTCAAGCACAGGTATTTTCTGTGGAACTGCAGGAAATCATACACATGTTGTAGCTGGTATTACAGACCCAGCAGGTAATGGAAAAGATTATATGCCTCCTTATATAACAATGCACGCTTGGATACGAGTTGGTTAAACTCTTTAACTTTACATAAATGAGCTTGAAAGAAGTATTCGAACAACATCCATGGAGGTCATTTAAGAAGTTCAATGAAGCTGCAAAGAGTCGGGGATTTACTAACAGAGCTGAAGTGAAAAGGTTCTTTGACAAAAATGTTGTACATCAAACAAAAATAAACCCTTACGACTACTTTTTACCAATTTACTCCAACACTCCTGACGCATACCAATTTGACACTCTCATTCAAAGCAGAAAAGGAGGACATAAACCATTCCTCATCTTCATAAATGTTAACACTCGTAAAGCATATGCATATCCAATGAAAAATAAAGGAACTCGTGAAGTGTTAAGAGTTTTACAAAAGTTTGTAGCAGAACATAACCCAAGTACTTTAACATCAGACCAAGACAGTGCATACCTCAGCAATGAAATCACAGAATTTCTCATTAAGCATAACATAACTCACTACACTACTGAAGACCATAACCATAACATACTCGGCATCATAAACCGCTTCATAAGGACTCTCAGAGATTTAAACCAAGAGCGAGACTTTACCGAAGAAACAATGAAACATTTTCTCGAAGTATATAATTCCTCAACACATTCTACAACAGGACATACACCAAATTCAATGACACAACAACAAGAAGAAAAGTATATACAAAAGAAACGAAGCCAAACACAAAATATCAGAAATTCAACACAATTTACCCTCATTCCTGGAACAAAAGTTCGTGTAGTTCTTGACGACAAACCGTTGACAAAGAAACGTTTAAGGTTAAGTCGAAATTATTATATCGTAGACTCTACGCAAGGTAATGGATATCTTATAAAAGCTGCCGACGACTCTATTGCGTTTTATCCTCGACATAAATTAGTCGAAAGTAGTAATGGCAAACTTGCTGAAACCATTGACGAAGCAAAGCGAGGAGTGGTTATTGAAATACTTGGCTATAACACAAACGATGACACTTATAAAGTAAGATATGAAGGAGGCGTTGAAGATGTTATACCATCTAAGAACTTGAGAGAGTCGAAGCCAACACATCTGGGACCATTAGAGCGGGAGTACTGGAAAGACAAAAATATGCCAGAAAGAATAAGAAAATTCTTCTAAACTTTTTCATTAGATGTAAATCAGACAAAAAATATAATTTAGGTGAAGAGGTGAGATCTCACCTGTTTTTTCACCCCCGTGAATTTTCATGAATTTTCACAAAAAGACCAAAAATAAAGTTAGTTTTATTTTTTTTTTATTTTTTTTATTTTGTATGTAAAGACAATAATGTCAGTCGAAGCAAAAACATTCACGAACAAATCTAATGGTGAAACATTCACAAAAGGCACTTATAACGGTATTGAAGTCTTACGTAGAGACAAGGATGGTTACATTAATGCAACAAAGATGGCAAGAGAAGCAGGAAAGTTAAACCATTTAAACAGATTTCTCAATAGTGCTAAAATGCAGGAAATTCTTGAGTTTTGGTTGAAAGAATACGGTCGAGCCAAAAGTGGCTCAACCTCAAAACAAGCATTTTATGAGCTTACTAAGGGCGTTATGAATGAATTCAAAGGTATTTACATACATGCTGACCTCGTTCATTTTGTTGCTGAATGGTGCTCTGTAAAGTATGCATTTTATGTCAAAGATATTATGGACTCCATAGACAAGAAAGTTCATGAGAAGTTAGATGAAGAAGAACTCGAAGATACAGTGGAGAATGCTAAACCTTTGTTCGAAGAAGAAGTTGGAAAAATGTGTGAAAAACAATTAGAACATGAACGTGAGATATATTATGGTTATAGAGATTCTCCATACGAACTAGACCAATGGGAACAAGAAGATTTAAAGAGAGAATTTAGAGAATATGAACTCGCTAAGATAGCATTTGAAGCTGCAGAAAAGAAGTTAAAAGTTTGGGGTCGTTTTGTACAAAAATATTGTGAGTAAATGAACCATTTATTTTTATTGAATTCAGTAAAAATAATGTTTAGGTGAAGAGGTGAGATCTCACCTGTTTTTTCACCCTCGTGAATTTTCATGAATTTCCTTAAGATAGAAAAAATAAAGTTAGTTTTATTTTTATTTATTTTTTTTATTTTGTATAAAAGATATGATTTCAACAATCGGCACAACAACAATTCAAGCCGCGAACGGCGGGACTCTGTCCACAACAACAGCACCAAACTCGCTAGTCATGAATCCTACGTCAATGTTAGTAGAGATGAAAAACTTCATTCCTTCTTCATATACTTTCGAAACAAAAATCCAGAAGATAAAGCAAGAACTTTTAACAAGTAATTTAGACTGTAGTGCGAAAGATGAAGAAAATGAAGAATATCTTTATGAAATGCAGGACATTATTGACCATTTACCCAAATTGCCTGAAATCCAACAACAAAAACTCACTATTCCTGAATTCGACGAAATTGAAGTGAAACCAACTGACTCAGTAGAAATAAAGAAGTTCATACGTAAAGTAAATTATGAATTCCTTGGTTTTCATTGCAACCATAAAGTTATGGACAAAGATTGCGACATGGTATATAAGAATGTTTCTGACATATATAAATCTGAAGAATTTAAGACTTACGATAACTTTGTTTCATTAGTTGCAAAATGTGTTTGGGAAATAAGAGATAAAGATAGAAGAGGCAAAGTATGGAACGAACAAATAAGACCCGCTATGTTTGAGATGAAGAAAACCATTGACGCCTTAGTTGTTTTAGCTGGTTTTATTTCAATGTATAACGCAAAAATGAACCCGCAATGTTCAAAATGTAAGGCAGCAATTAGGAAATATAACTACTCAGTCAAAGAGATAGAAAGAATGAGAAACGACTATGCAGACTTAAAGAAAGAAGCAGAAAAGCCAGCAGAAGATAAAATGAACATGTTAGAATTTCTGAACAAAAACTATCCAACAGCAGAAGATTTCCTTCTATCTGACGTCAAGAAGAAGTATAAAGAAACCTTCGGTATTGTTAAAACTTTTGACATACTGACAGAAGAAATAGAAGCTACGAAATTGTTTAGGATTTCAAATATACATCGTACAATTCATGTAAAACGCTTGTGAAAAAACTGGGGTGAAAAAAGAGGTGAGATCTCACCTCTTCACCTAAATTATATTTTTGCTTTAATTAAATGCTTTCCGGAAACGTCGATGAAAATCATATGGACAAATTATATGAAAAAATTAATAATGATTACCCCTCATTAACCAGGGAAATGACGGATTCTATAGTTCGTAAATTCGATGAAATACAGGATATGTGGTTCGACAGATTCGACATGAACGATAAGGAAAAGAGAAAGAACGATAACAATTTACTTACTAAAAGAATCCTAAAATCTAAAATAGGTGAAGCTTCAACATTTAACACAGTACATAACTTTTACACCGCTGTTTATATTTTCAATAATTTATTTAACGATGAACGAGAAAGAAAAAGTATGTTTAACGGAAGAAATGAATATGATTTTATCCTTTGTGCTGTTCGGGATGTTGACATGAAACTAAAGAAAATATTCTTATTACAAGATGACACGGTTGAAGATGAAGTCAATGAGTTTTTAAATCGTGATTTAAATGAAATTGATGAAGTTATGACCGAATGTTATAAAAAGTTCAAGGGTGAAAAAACTGGTGAAACAGGTGAGATTCTCACCTCTTCACCTAAATTATATTTTTGTTCAAAGCTTCCACGAGAGAAAAGATTCCTCATTCGCTAAGGATTCCAAAAATGAAAAAATCATTGATTTCGGCTGAGAAAAAACAGCAAAACCCTTCTTCCACGGGAACAAAGAAATAAAGAAGAAATAAAGAAGAAATAAAGTAAATTTTTATTTATTCCCGTGGAAGATAGAGCACTTTTATGACACTTTTTATTCACGACAAACAAGACAAACAAAGAAAATAAGAAAATACGGCGCTGTCGCGGTTCGAACCACAGACTCTGACCCCTCCATAACACCACCTTAGACCACTGTGCTACGTAGCCTGTCGACATAAGATTTTATAAATTGCATATTTGACGTAAATTTATTTCCATCTAGCTTCCCACCGCATAAGATATTCATACGTGTTTGTAAGACATTCATTAAAATTCTTTTCTATTGCATCTAATCTTGCGTTATTTTTTTCAATAGCTTGTCTGTATTCTTCATCATCTCCAGCAGTGTTTGGGTCTTCACGTTTAAAATATTCATTGTTAACCAATTTTTTATCTACAAATTTTATTAGTGTTTGATTCACTTCGTTATGATAACGGTCATATTCTTTCAATACGTAAGTGAAGACAAAATGCGTCGTACCTTCAATCTTAAAGCTTAAAGAACTTTCAACACAGTTTTGAGGGTCTGTCAGTGCGTCAATGAGATAGTATTCGAAGTCAGTCAATAATCTTTTTAAAGTCATTTCATACAGGATAAAATTTAATGTTGTGAAGAAATAGTGTTTATCTCAGAAAAAATAACGCTAATTTTATTTTTATTTATTTTTTTATTTTGTATGTAAAGACAGTAATGACAACATCAGAGAACACAACAACTGCTATCGTTCATGAAGCTATAAATGAAGAATACGAGTACATACAGTTTAACAAACAACTCCGTCTCATTCGTTCGGTCAAAGACGATATGTACCAAATGCAAAGTATTTTGACAGCATGTTTTGCTCCAGATACCAAACATACAGACGATTGGTTCAAAAACCAAAGCACACAAGAACTTTTGAGCGAAGCACAGCGAGACCGACTTTTTTCGGGGTCGCCTAAAACTCATGAAAATCGTAAAAATTTGCCAAATGGTTTGAGAGGTTGGTATGTACATAGACTTCTTGTAAATGTTGTAGCAATGTGGGCTTCACCTCGTTATGCTTGGTATGTTTGTAAACTTCTTGACGAAATTCACAGACAAGAACGCGAACAGATGGAAAAGAAACTTCAAGCAAAAGATGAAGTCATTGAATCCAAAGACAAAAGCATACAGAAAAGAATACCGCGTTCAGTACCAAAAGGAAAGGAAAAGAACTATAAGTATATGATTTATACTGAAGAGATGGAAAATGAAGAAGACAGAGATATGGTTATGTTGCATTTAGTGAGAAGAAACAACAAAAGCTTTTATGACCTTGCTAAGATTTACAAATCTGACAGAAACTGGTTCTATCGTGAAAACTTACCGATTTCAATGACACCGAATGAGCAAATAAAGGAAATTGTCAAAAATACTCTTCCTCAAACACACTATGACATCAAAGGTTGCACAATACTTACATTCAAAGAAGACTTACCATTGTTAAAGGAAAAAATAACAGAGTATTTCGATAACTTCAAAGAGGAAGAATGAAAATCTAAGCTAATTTTATTTTTTTTTTTTATAAAATTTTATCTCATATGAAAGAACATGAATTTAGAATATTCGGAACTCATGACAGAAGAGGAGAACGAACAGCATGTAAAAGATTATGCAAAATTTATGATAATACATTTAAACAATATCTAATATCTAAATCTAAGATTATGCAAAATTTCTGAAGGTATATAAAGCTTATGAAAAAGCGTATGAAAAGTTTATACATTGGGGAATTGTTGTAAAATATCCATATGAAGACTAACCAAAAATATATTTTGCTTAAATAGCTTCAGGGTCAATTTCTTCAACCATTTCACTTCCTTCGTCAATGTCAATTGAAGCTTTTTCAACCTTTGGTAAGAATTTCTGTATAACATCTTTGTTCGTTATTGTCTTCAGAGATGAAGGATAATATTTCACATTTGTTCACCCTTCTTATATTCTTTCTGTTCGGAAAGATTCATAGCAATACTGAAGAAGTCAATGTTAGAGTTCTTTATAACAGTATAATGAGTATCTTTGACATTCACGAAGAAACTCTTTTGTTTCAAAACTACTGCTAACTCTTGTGAAGTATAACGTTTGTGGTCAATGACGATAGCTAATGGTCTGACATACTGACCAAACTTAGATTCTTTCACAAACTTCTTGTTAAAGATAACATTAACGTTTGAAGCACCATTGAACTCATTCTTGATGGCATTAGCGAGAGCATTGTATGAAAAGAACTTGCAATCTTGCATGTGTTTCATTATAATAAAAATATTAAATTATTTTGAAAAATAACTTAAAAAAAATCTAATCTAATTTTTTCAAAAATATTTTTTTTTATTTCCTACTAAAGATGTATCGGAAGTTGTCTAAGTTAGAACACTCGGAAATAAAACAACTTCTTACAGAAGCTAACATAGATGTTGCAAAGCATTACGCAACAAACAAAAAAGCACTCACTGACTTCATTAAAGACTATAATGGTGCAATAAGTTATGATAGAATTCATGATTACATTAATAACAAAACTTTTCCTTTAAATGACGTTGCTATTGACTTATATCATAGACGTTCAATACCTCATGAAGTAAGAAGAGAAATGTTTGACATAACAAATGCGAACGTTGGTCATACTCGTAAAGCTCTTTCACATGATGTTCGTCAAGAAATGTTTGACATAACAAATGCGAACGTTGGTCATACTCGTAAAGCTCTTTCACATGATGTTCGTCAAGAAATGTTTGACATAACAAATGCGAACGTTGGTGAAACAAGAAGAAGAGACGACACACTGAAACAACAGAGAAGAGAGATGTTTAAGAGCGCTATAGAACAAGTTCGCAAAGCTAACGATGTCATTCGTTCCATTGACGACAAACCAAAAGAAGGTGAGAGATGGTTAAAGAAAGATGAAGAGAATAGGAAGAGAAATGTGAAGTCAGGCAATAGACTCATTGACTTTAACATCGAAGCTTTAGATGAACCAAACAGAGACTACTTACACAAACATTTCGGTAAGGTTTTCATGAGACTCTTAGAGAAGATTAAAATAAACTCACAACAGAGATGGATGGTATGTTATAAACTTGGTGGAAAGTATGAATGTTCTACGTTAAACCTCAATAATATTGGAACACTACTACATCAGCTCTTGAAGGAGAACTTTATATCAGAGATAGAAGCAAATGCTGCAGGTATTGTTGAAATGCACTATGACTTCTTCTTGACAAACATAAAGAATCTTACCGAAATAAAGATGTATGATTTAACAGAATATGAAGGCTTAACGATGTCAGATGTAAAGAAAGGCAAACCAAAAAAGAGACCATATAGAGATGAAAGCACACTGACAAATGACCAGAAAGCCATTTTGGAAGCTCTTAAGCAAACAGGAAACCCAGCACTTATAGAAAGCTTTTGGAAAGATAATGGTGAAAAGAAGTTTTATAAGAAGAGAAGCGGTCAGTTCTGGAAGTATCTTTGCACATTACCTATAAATCTTGAACGCTACCAAATCTTCAATGAACTGAACAAAAGAACTGCAACACTTATGACAGAAGACAATTGTTTCGTTTATGCTTGCATTCAGGCTGGAGTAGATGGAGAGACTATTGACCACATGAGAGAAGTCATTCGTGTTAGAGACTTTCCTCAAAGTAAAGTACAAGAAATTTCTGACGCAACAGGTATAGCATTTAATGTTACCATTGGTTACTTCAATGACTCAAGACATAATGAAATAAAGAGATACATACCAAAAGAATGTGAAACTGTTCGAACTATTGACTTACTTCTTGTTGAAGACCACTACATGCTAAACGAAAGATTACCAATGACAACATATTTCATTCGCAACTATATAGAAATTCTCAAAGCTTGTGGTGGAATGAACATTGAGAAACAGATGAAAATATATACAAAGAGAGAGAACAAATATGTAGTTCGTTATGATAGAACAACACCGTTATGGAATGTTATGAAAACATTGTGGGAGTGCAAATATTTCGAACCTATTTCTTATGGAGAACTTTTCACATATACGACTGACTTATATAAACAGAACCTTGCACCATTTAAAGATTTGACATATGCTCCAAAGTATTGTGTACAACTGAAGAAGAAAGCAGAGTCAAAAGAAGTAAATAAAAATAAGTGCAAGTTCATTCCTGAGCATGTTTTCTTTGCTGACTTTGAGTGTAGTACCGATGGCTTTCATAAAGCTTTTAACATATGTTACGACAATGAAGATGGTTCAGTGAGTGAAAGCATTTGGGGTCAGAACTGTGCAACAGAATTTTTGGAACGACTTCCTGACAAGAGTTTAATATATTTCCATAACCTCAGTTATGATATAAACTTCATCTTAAGACACATGACAGAAGTGAAAGGAACTCCCATCATTAAAGGTTCACGAACAATGCAAATAACTGGCTTATATAAAGGAAGGGCAATTATTATAAAAGACTCTTACAGTGTTATAAATAAGAAGCTTAAACTATTTCCTGCTATGTTTAACTTACAAACAGGACCGAAAGAAGTATTTCCATATAACTACTACAGCAGTGTTTTGTTAGCAAATGACAACAGAACTGGTGTCATTTCTGAAGCATGTAAGTTTGTCAAGGATGCAGATACGTTCATGAAGAACATAGATTCCATCAAAGGTTGCAGAATAGATGAGAACCACTTCGACTTAGAAAAGTATAGCACATTTTATTGCAAACAAGATGTAAGAATTTTAAGAGAAGGTTTTGTTAAGTTCCGCAATGACATATTGAAAGAATTTGATTTAAACGTTTATGACTACGTTAGTATTTGTTCTATTGCTAACAAATTGTTTGAGAACAGAGTGTACTTCCCGAATGGAAATTTATATGACCTCTCAAATAAACCAAGAGAATTTATTTCGAGATGTATTCAAGGTGGAAGATGTATGTTGTCAGATAACATTAAACAAAAGAGCGAAAAGAAACTCATTGCTGATTTCGACGCTGTTTCATTATATCCATCCGCTATAGCAAGACTTTATACTTTAGAAGGAATTCCAAAGGTTATGAAGAAAGAAATGTTAAGCACAGAGTATCTCATGAGACATTTATTTGATGACGACCAAAAGGAACCCATTGGTGAAAAGTTTATGTCTGGCTTCTTTGTTCTCATTAAGATAACAGAGATTGGAATACATAGACACTTTCCTTTAATAGTTTGTGACCCTGAACTAAATCCAGAACTTAATGTTCCCAGAAGTTCAAACACTTGCTGTTTAATGTATGTTGACCATATAACATTACAAGACCTCATAAAATATCAAGGTGTCAAATGTGAAGTGTTGCAAGGATACTATTACGATGGAAACAGAGATATTAGAATAAGAGATGAAGTAAAGAAGTTGTTTGAGTTAAGGTTAAAGTATAAGAAAGAAGGAAATCCTTTGCAAGAAAATATAAAGCTCATTCTGAACAGTATTTATGGCAAAACTATTCTATCTCCTATTGAGTCAAAAATAACCATAGTAAATGACAAAGATGCTATAAGATATGCCATCAGAAACTACAACCATATAGTGAAGTTCGAAGGTTTGGATGGTTCAGATAAAACTATTTTCAAGCTAACGAAAAGTATTTGCAGACACTTTAACTTCTGTCCACTTGGTGTTAACATTCTGTCTATGTCGAAGAGAATAATGTGTGAAGTATTCTGTACTGCTGAGGACTTAGGAATGGACATCTTTTATAGCGATACCGACAGTATGCACCTCTACAATGAAGATATCCCTCGTTTAGCTGAAGAGTTTGAGAAACGTTATGGAAGAGTTCTCATTGGTAAAAACCTTGGTCAATTTCATAGCGACTTTGCAGAAATCACACCTGGAAAACAAAGTTTAGCATACAAGTCAATATTTTGTGGAAAGAAGACTTACATAGACTTACTCACGAATGATTTAAATGAAGTTGCATTTCACTGCAGAATGAAAGGCGTGAAGCAAGATGTTATTGCTTTAACCGCTAATGAAATGTTTCCTGACTCTGTTCAGTGTTTCTATGATGAAGATAAAGGTTTAATGGTTCCGCAAGGAAAATTTGACAAAGACTCTGAGTTCAGTTTAATGAAACTTTACAAAGCACTTTATGACGGTCAAGAGATTGGATTTGACTTATGTAAGTCTGCTACACCTGCATTTGACGAGAAGTTTAACTTCTCAATAACGACTAAAACAAGCTTTATTCGTAAGTTGAAGTTCTGAGGTCATTTATTTTTGTCAGCAATGAGGTCATTCGTGATAAAAATAAGCCGCTAGCGGCAAGGGCGAAGCCCATGAGGTCATTTACAATACTGCGATGGTAGAGTTTAAGAGTTGTGCTTCAATGTAGAGACAGTCCTTATGGTCTGGAGGTAGCAAAACAGGTGCTTTATGGTCATGAGTGGAGAACATGTCTATCCAAAACTCACGATTGAAGCCAGTAAGCTTGTAATACTTAGGATTTGGCAGTGGTGAAGTTCTTGTATGACCAATGAACTCATTTTCAACTCCCTTACTTAAGTTTGAATATAATATAGCTTGCTTTCTATCCCAAATGCCAGGTGTTACAATCTTTGAAAATTCATTTTTCCTCGGAAGCATTGCATAATAATTGAAAACATTTTTGAAGTCATCATTTGGTTCAGAGATTTGAAATCTTATACGTAATGGATTTTTTTTCTTTTTAGCTACTTCATTGAATGGTGAGAATACAATGAATTGACAGTCATGAGTTCCATCTTCATTTTCATTAAATTCATAATGAAAGTCTATAAGTTGTGGCCGACTACCTTCTTCCTTCAGTTGTGCAAGAAACTCACGTAAAGGCTGTAAAGTTTGTACTTCAATGTTGAACTTTTTCTCGAACATCTCATTAAATGAAATCATACATTGCAACAATGTTGTATCGTCTTTAAAGTATTTGTATATGTGAATGTTTTGGGCGCTTAAAGACTGTTCGTCATTTTCTATCTCGACTTGAAGTATAAAGTCAACCTTTCTGAAAGCACGTGTTATATACATAGATGTTATGCCAATGTACTTCTCTTCATTTATGTTCACAATCCAGTCTGTTGGAAACTTAAACGTTACTCTGTTCCCCTTTATTTTGACGTCAGGGTTTTCACTACTGAACGCAACAGATAAAGGTATTTGTCTATACATTTAATTCGGATAAAAATAAACCATTTACTCTTTCTTTGCTTCAGCTTCTTTAGCTTTTGCTTCAGCTTCTTCTCTAGCTTTCTTCGCCAGCAAACGTGGGTTCTTTTGTCTTCCAGCAGCTAATGCAGCAAGTTGTTTTTCACTAAGTTTTCTCTTTGGTCTCTCTGGCTTTTGTTCTTGTTTTTGTTCCTTCAGTTCGGATAAAATTTGCTCACGAATTTCTTTCTTCAATGCTTCAACATCTATGACCCCTTGGGTCTTGTCCGTAGGGCTTGTCTGAGTCATTTGACTGCAGATAAAAAACAAAATTAAAACTTTAACCGATGTAAAATGAGCTTGTCAAAATCAGAGCGAGAGTCTATTATATTAAATGACGCCAGAGGAATACAACATCCTTTCTATTACGTAAGTCAGAGTAAAAGATGGTAAAATATACGTAAGAAAAAGAAAGGTTCCATTAGCGAATGCAGAAAGCGACAACATTAAGGTGTATGGCAAGGGTGAAGCCCATGTTAAGCCTTCTATTCAAACTGAAAAGTCAATAGAACAAGAAGAAAAGAAGCCAGATGTACTTTCAATAACGAACCAAGAGCTTATTGCAAAGTTTGTGAATTTCATTGAAAAACAAACCGAGTCAAAGAACCCTGACCCGCCAGTGAAAGAAGTTGAGACAAAAGAGAATGTACAGTTCATTGAAAATGTCAAGAAACAACTTCCACCACGAATGCCAAGAAGAAGAGTGAGAATAATGAAGTAAATAGATATTTTTATCCGAAGTAAATACATGCAGAACGAACAGTTAAACGAATTTACTCCAGCAGAGCATATTCATCAGATTCGCTCATATTTCGATATCATAGACAATGCAGTTCAAATTGGTGACACTAATAGAAAATATTCTGACGCAAAGATTCCATCACAACCTGGAACTGCTAAAGATAACACATGGGTAACATTCAATCTCTCACCTCCTGGT